TGGTGGACACTAGGGCTCCGTGTCTGTCCTGGGCTGACCACATCCCCGCCAGGGTGGCTGTTCCCTGAAGGGCTCTGTGACCCCACACTCACCTGCAAGTCCCCGCCACACCCGTGGCCGGGGCTGCAGGCGCCTCGGGACCCAGTGGGGCCCTGCAGGACCCCTGGTGCGTTCCCTCCCGTGTCCTCACCGCAGGCCGCCGGGACTGGCGTGCCGATGAGTGTGGGCGGGCATCGTCCACCCGAGCCTGGAGGTGGGCCCCGCCCGCCCAGGGCTGCGGGTGTGTGGGCAGGTCTCCTCCATGCTGATGGGTCTGAGCCCGCCCCAGGCTGCGGGTGTCCAGGCCTCATGTCCCCACTTCAGGGCCTTCCTGACCAGCGCTCCGCCTCGGCAGGTGGCTGTGTGGCCTCCCTGAGCCCGGGGTCGGCCGGTGGGGCCAGGCACGGTGGCGCCAGCCCCGCTCCTCCCTGCGCCTGGTCAGCTTCTCCTGAGTGGACGCCGGGAGCCCGAGCCCTCGCTCCTCAGGCCTCCTCCCAGCCTGGGTGTCTGGGCCCCGCCTCGCACTGACGCTGGGGGTCTCTAAGGTCCCTGGGGCGGTGTGAGGGGTGACCTGCTTGGGGCCGCCCTCCGCACAGGGGTCTGGGTGACCCAGCCTGGCCTTCCTGGGTGGGCGGCTCCCTGGGGCCCCTCTGACTAGAGCCAAGCGGTGGGCCCACGGCAATGTTCTGGGGTGCGGCTGCTGTAGATGGGGGCGAGGACACGGCGTGGCGAGGGCGGGAGTGGGGGTCCGGTCAGCCCACTGCTAGTGACCAGGCATTTATGCGGGGGGCAGGGTGGACCCCAGGATGGAGCTGAGTGCCGTTGGTCCGTCCAGGTTGCCACAGCCTCTGTCCCTCCCGGGGCCCTCACTGCGTGCAGTGAGGACAGCGTCTGCCCCTTCACTGTGTTCCCGGGTGCAAACTCTCAGGCTGCCCCGTGAGCGAGGGTCCCCGGACAGCAGGAGGACACATACGTGCAGGGGGACACATACGTGCAGGGGGCCTGACAGTGAGCATCTCTGGACTCTGCGTCCCTCCTGGCCCTGCCAGCCTGGCCCCGAGAGGCGTGTCTGAGGCCTGGACCCTGCGGGGAGGCTGAGGGGTCTCCCCGGACCCCGCTATTCCTGCCCGCCCCGCCCGGCACTCCCCTCCCCCGCTGCTCCAGCCAGAGAGGCCCAGGCCTGCTGCCCGGCCCACACAATCCGCTCTGCGGGCCCAGCGGCGCTGAGGGCCAGCAAGCAGGCCTGTCCCTGCGGGCCGTGGGCCACTCTGCTGGGGGCTGTTGGCGCCCACGGGCCCCCGCAGGGCCAGGTGGGAGCGGGCGAGGGGGAGCGGGGCCGCCGGTCAGCGGGGAGCCTGGTGCCATGGGCGGTGGTGGGTGAGCCTGCCTGAGCCTGACCTCTGTGATGCGGGGGGGGGGGGGGGGGGCGGCCATTATTCCCGGGTTCTGCTGCTCGACGTATGTGGGCGGCCACTTGGGTCCTGAGGGCTGGGGGGCGCCTGGGCCTCCTCACCCAGAGTCCACGGCCGTGGGGTGACCAGCCACGCTGCCCTGGTCCGCGGGTCCCTGTACACGGGGGAGACCGTGGGGGCTGCCAGGGGGCTGGGCCCACCCACAGGTGCTGACACGCCACTGGCCACAGGGGCTCCGGGAGCAGCGCCGGGAGCCGCGGCTGGGGTGCTGTGCCTGAGTCCTGCATCTGTAATGGGCTGGGGTCTCCCCAGCGCCCTGGACTCTAGGGGCCCTGGCTGGGGGGCCAGTGAGTGTGTGTGTGAGCGTGGGATGTGCTGACCAGCCGTGACCGGCCAGCGTGAGGGGGACAGACCCACACAAGTTCATTGAATGGAACTTTCGGACAGCAGGGAAGGGTCACTAACGGTCAGAGAGGGGAGGACGAGCCCTGGGGTCGCCCTCCTCCCAGCCAGCCCCACGCCCTCCCCCCAGCCTCACGCACCACCCCACGGCGCCCCCAGGGGCGGCCAGAGAGCCCCCGCCCCACCCTGAGCTCCCAGCCCCGCCCGAGGGAGCCCCCCATTGCCCAAGTGGGTACCCGGGGCCCCGGCCCTCAGGAGCGTGAGGGGTCAGCCCGGGCTCCTCGTGGTCTTCCCGCCGTCCCCACCACTACGAGCCCCGCCTGGACAGCGGTTCCCACGTGGCCACCAGGACAGGCCCTGCCGGGGGCGCCTCAGCATAGAGTGGGGACCCCACTGTGAAGGGTGTCGGGACTGAGCCATGGGGCAGGGAAGGGGTGTGTGGGGGAGGGACGCCTGGAAAAGAGAACCAGTGGCCAGTGTCAATCAGAGCTTTATTCCAGAGTCTGCACAGGACACACAGGGGCCGCCTGGCACACCCAGCGCCCCCGGGACAGCGGGACCCGAGCAGCCTCCCCCCCCCAGTCCCGAAGTGGCCACTGTCCGGGGCGTCCTGCCACTCCATGTCCCGCAGCGGGGCCGCCGAGGCCCAGGTTGGCCATCAACCCGCCTGTGGCTCCAGG